GCTAAAAGTTTGTAGTCAAAGATTTTATTGGGTCAATTGCCGACGGGATGTAGAAGATTGGTGTAAGAAATGTGATCTATGTAATGGCAGAGAAGGGCCCAAAACAATATCTTTAAAAGAAGGGGAAACAAATACTTGATAGTTGTTATGGACTATTTTTCAATCAGAAAGCGACGACAGTAGCGGAAGCATTTATGACGAACGTCATAGCGAGACATGAAGTCAATCTGTATACATGCAGGTAGAAATTTTAAGCCATCCATGCAGCGACGAATGGAAGATATTTATTTTGAAAGTGCTGTATCACTGGGTTCCTGCGCGTGCGTATGGCTTACATGGTTGCCATGATGTTGGAGAACTTTAGCCAAAAAGCCAACACCAACTTTTAGTCCAGGATCCGTAAGTAAGGTCGACCTTCACCCATCTGTTTAATGGATAAAAGTTTTGTTTTATTAAATAAAATATGTTTTTAAATAAACCACAAATGGGTTGCCTAAGAAAATACGGCCACGGCCATTTTTTACTTTCCTTTCTGTGTACAAATAAAGAAAGTATATGAATCATGATAAAAGTTGCTTATGATGTCATTCTCTATTATTTTGACCCTATAAATGATTTCCCTAAAATGGACCTAATTTGAGATATTTGAGGAAAAGTGCAAATTTCGAATTTTGAAGATAACTCAAAAACGGATGAAGAGAAAAACACCAAACTTGAAACTTAAGCTTTAATCCATTCTGTGGTGAGCTGATTAAAGTTTGGGCATAGTCGAAGCATCTGAGGAATACTTTACAGGGCGTCATTTTTTTACTTCAAGAAAATAAATAGTCTGGACCGTATTTTCTTAGGCAACCCATAAACATATTTTATTTAATAAAAAGAAACTTTCATTCATTAAACAGATGGGTGAAGGTTGACCTTACTTCGGATCTTAGACCATTTAGCGTTTTATTTGTGGTTCTCCCTTAAAATAAATATTAAATTATAAATTTAGTCAAGATCATTTACAGCTTTTTTGGTTGTGTTAGGTAACTAGATGTTTGCTTATTTTTAACTTGATTAGGTACTTTAGTTGCTACGAAATGTAACCTACATTTCACTTATACTATATAATGTATAAAACTTACTTACTTTTAGATCTAAAAATGGTTAGAACAATTATCCACTGCTTTTCAGTTTTTCCACAAATAAAGGGAGCGGCTTGATTTAAAAGGAATGAAAGGAAAATGTATCGAGGATTATAGGACAAAAAAATATTCTGAATATAACTTCATGATGATATAGTCCTCATTAAAAAATACAACACTGATATTTTAGATATTACTAACAGAAAATGTTGTCACCTATATTGCAGCTTTTGTTTAAATAAAATCAAAATTTAATTAAATATCCGAATTGACTGTGACATCATACTCTTAACTAGAAAAAAATCATGGAGGTTTTACTTAAACAGTCATCTTATCAAAATATGTACATTTTGTGAAAGAAAAGTAAGGTTTCTTTTAAATTTAAATGATGGCAAACTACCAAGTGAAACAAACTTTTTCCCTGTATTTCTGCATAAAGTATCCAGTCAATAATATCAACAAAATTTATTTAGTTTCTTAGACATTTATGATTTTTCTATATTGAATAATCATAAAATAAAAATTTAAAAAATGGCTGAATAAATCTCTGTGAAAACAAGATTCTATTCAGTTGCCAAAACCCACACGGAGAAAATAGGTAAGTAAAAGTACCTACTGAGTAAAGACTTAAAATTTGTTTAACACTTATACTGTTTTAGCATCAGTAATTTAATAATTTTAAATAAAATTAATTTTGTGTAACATGTTGCATATGATATATAAATATATGTTATTGTTATTCACACATGAATGGCATTTCCATCCCTGACGTTAAGAAATAAAATATGACGTATTAAATTCATTATTATAATTATTTAAAATTTCAAATTAACTTATATGCTCTCATAGATATGAAACGTGTATATCGAAAAAAAAATTCAAATTTGAAAAATTTAATTTTAAATTTTTTTATATTAGATGTACATCAAAATATGCAAATTAATTTAATAAAGCCTGACCTGACCATAATGTAACAGTTGCGCTACTCAGCTGTGGCAGCTCTTTACTGCGCATGAGTATCAACCCGGAAGTGACGTTATGCGCGAAATCAAAATGACGCGCTTTTAGAACTTAGAAATAGCCTTCCATTGTAACGGTTACAGTTCAGTGATTGAACCAGACATGTTAGAACAGATGTCAGCTGTACACTGTATTACGTACATCTCAGACCTGATTTGATTAAAAATAGTTTATTTATAATGTACTAATTAATTTATTACTTAGGCACTATTGTAACTCACAATTATAATTTATTTATTACAATTTACCTTTACTATACAACACTTATATTGAAACGTAACATCTACCGACAAAGTCGCGCTATTTATACACAAATAAAACAGTCTAGAAAGAACCAACTCTGACTAGAAGCCCAGTCTAGAAGTTCTGAAAATTATCCTCCACCTGTCAGACTGCGATACAGCGAAAATTCGAGTACCTATCAATGTCTCGAGTCTTTGTGGTAGACAGCAGCGATTGCCAATGGTAGACTTTACTTCGTGTAGAGGACAGGGTCGGCTTCGCACAATATATACCCTACCTCAAATTGAAATATTATAATGTACATCTGAGACAAAGATCTTAAATATGATATGATATAGTGCTAAGTTAAGCAATAATTATGAATTTTAAACATTTTAAGTATATGCATATTTTTATAAAGAAAGAAATTCTTCTTTTTTATAATATAACCACTATTATTATTTGCATCTACAGTAAATTGAAGTTTAGGGTGGTATGGATCATGTTACATATCTAAAATATAAAGTTCTAGGTCTTCCATTACTAATTGGGCTATGATACTAGAGATTGATGCACCCACGGATGGCTAACCCATCTGTCTGTTTATAAAATGTATTATTAAAGTGAAATATGTGTATCATTTATTGCAGTGAGAAATTTATTTAAAAGTATATCAGTAAATTTTGTTATATTGTCATTAATGGCTGGATAAAGAAAGAGTAAAATTAAATACAAGTATTTTCAACAGTGTTCAAGATATTAAATGCCCAAGAGATAACAATAATAGTCAGAAATTATAAATATTAAATACGTGTTTTCCAAGCAGAAAATACATTTAGCACAATGGTGAAATAAACAATAAAGTTTGATGATCAAGGTGTAAAAAGAATATAGAGAATAAAACTTAATTAATGCTAGTATCCAAAATTTGGTCCTTATCTAGTTTGAACTCTTTTCACTTGTGAAAAACCTAAGAATAAAATTGTAAACAAAAAATCTTAGTTCCATATTTATCTAGTGCAAATTAATAATGACAATTTTTTAAACTAAAAATATTTCATAAATTGTCTCAAATCAAGATTGATCATATTAAAAACGGCATATTTTTTTAACACATTCCAGCTGGGTCAGTTTTAAGCCATATTTTTCAATGAACGTATATGCTAATTCGAGAAAATCACGTATTACCGGTCACTATATCTTTTATTATTTGGTCAAAAGATGAGCATTTATATACCCCTATTACAAAACTTTACATTTACACATTTTTTTGCCAAATTAGATAGTGAACCACTGGAGTGTTGCCCCGCCATACAGGAATATTGTTGGTCCCTGGGCAGAGCATCGAACAGTGGGTAACAGGCCATTTACTTTAAAATTTTAGTAATCTCTCAGTTTATTACCTAGAAATTTATTTACGTTCTGTGTGCTATAAAATATATAGTTTTTTCATTTGTAAAACTGTACAAAAATCATGCAGTTATTATTTATAACTATTCACAGAAAGGAAATGATATATCAGACCAGATGGCATCATATTATAGTAGCTTGAGAAAAACAAAATGGTATAAGAAAGCTGCTATGGAAATTAATTATGTTTGGTACCATGTTATTTAATGCATGGGTAGGTAATTCAGAGTAAATTATCTAAAAAAAAAAAAATGACAATGCCACACTTTCGAGAGCACATCACAGAGTAGCCTTCTAAAAGAAACAATGCCCAAAAAGTATAAAGTTCTATGAAAGTTCATCATTTCCAAAGATTGAAGGTTAGGCAAGAAAAAACTAGCAAAAGATGCAAAGAATGCTACAAAACTATATCTACAAAAGAGGAAAAGAAAGTTGTATTTTGTTAGGATTGCGAAAACACACCATTTTTTTGTTGAGATTGTTTCAAAAAATGTTCAACATAAATAGAATAGTCTTAATCATTTTTATTTGTTGTGAAAATAAACACATTTGTTCATGCCTTCATTTTATTTCTATACCTATCATAATTTATATAAAAATAAATAAAGATCACAATCCTGATCAAGCATATGTATGTGATGATATCAACAAGTTTGCAGAGCGGGTAACTTTTGGTTTAAACCTTACTGTTAGGCGTTTAATTCTTAACCCAATAAAATAAAATGTACACCGGTGGGTCACTATGTCCAATAAGAAAGGACCTAGACGATCCACTGGTGGATCACTATGCCTAGTCAATATTAGTCTAGCATCCCACTGGTGGGTCACCCTAGCAGGAAACATGAACATGTTAAAAAATATTTGTGTCCTTATTATTCATTTGCATTAGATATGGAACTTAGGTATTTTGTTTATAATAGCGATACCTACAATGTATGCTTAGTTTTTCTCTAATCATTATGAGCTCAAACTAGATATTTACCCAAAATTTAAATAACTATATTGTTAACTACTATAACTAAAATGTTTATTCTGGATGACTATTTTCAAATAAACCTTTAAGAATTGTAATGGTTTTGAATGATATAGCTGAACATCCTAACAATTGCACAAGAATGAACTATTTAGACGACAAATTGGTGTTACTATTTCATAAAGGGACTGAAAACAATTTGATGTGATCACCTTGTACAATGGGACTAATATTAGACCTGTACATACCGGTTTTTGGTTCTGAGGTTGTTTATCAAAGGGATTGTAGTCATCCACTCTAAGTTGGGCATTGGTGTTCCTAGCAACTTGTTGAACAGAAGGATCCTAGAATAAAGATAATATTTAAATGGACTAATCCATACTTCACAATTAAACACCTTTGTTTTTTATTATTAATAATTTTTATGGAATTAAACTGACATCTGATTAAAATATCAAGAAAAATAAACATACCGCAAAGGGATTATCTATGGTAGGTTCGCCGAAGGGATTTTCTTCGAAGCCAGACATTTTGTTATTATTTTCCTAATTAATTTCACAGGCACAAATACAACTTTTTTTTATCTTATCTAAAACTTTATTATCTTTCTTGACAGGACACCATATTTTGCAGTGCTGTAACTGTCAAAATAAATCTACATTTCGGACTACGCAAAATCATCGCGTGTCATTTCAATACTACCAACATACAAAGTGAAAATTTACTATTAAATGTTAAGAGTTCAAAGGCAAAACGTAATTAAATTAAAGGGAATTTAAAACATTATTTAGCTCAATTATAGTTATTTTTTACTCTAGTGTATGTATGCTACAGCTTTATTTTTAAATTAAAATTAAATGTATGTTGTGTTGCCTATCCACTAGTACATTCAAAAGTTTCAATTAAAAACTACTTTGTTTTTTTGTTGATTTATCATTTATTACAATGTTATTTCAAAAAAATTAATTTCTTTTTAAAATCGGGGTCACCTATCTGAAATAAAACCAGCTACACATCCCGTAACTTTTTGGGGACACACTATAGGGCGTTCGGACTAGCCAGTGACGTAGATATAGGGGGGCCAATTGGATCGATTCTCTCATGAGTCTATGAAAATTATAAGTGTATTAAATAAAAGGCTCTTCATCTATGTTTATTCAACTATGTATATATAAGAAAGGATAAAATTAACCGATTTAGGGAAACCGCAACAAATGTTCCACAAAGATCAAATCTAGACAGTGTTGTTGAAGCTAGTTTTATAATTAGTTCTAAAATAGCGAAAACGTCGAAGTCATTTTCTGGTCCCTTGTTAAAGAGTGTCTAGTAGAACTGTTGTGCCCAGAAAAGAAGGAAGAGTTTGAGAAAGTGAGCTTATCGCGACATAGTGTTGTTCGACGTAAAGGTATGATGGCTAGTGATATCAAAAAAATTATTGCCTGATACATTAGCTGGTTTTCAAGCATTTTCGATTGCTTTGAAAGAGAGTACAGATTTATCTGATTTATGGCCGCTACAAGGGACCACTACTGAAAAACATATTTTTGCCGAGGTGCAAAGTACTTTTGAGCAATATGGTTTGCAGTGGTGTAAATTAGTTGGAGTGTGCACGTATGGTGCGCCTTCAATGGTAGGTTCACGAAAAGGTTTGGTCGGAATTCTGAAAGAAAGAGCAACCGCTATGAATGTGCAAGAATGTGATTTAATAATTCTGCATTGCATTATTCACACACAAGATTTGTGCTCTAAGTCCATTCAATTGAAGAATGTTATGGATGTGGTAGTAAATACCATTAATTTCATTAGATCCCGCGGTCTTAACCATCGGCAGTTTAAAGCATTTTTGTATGAAGTAAGGTAGCTAAGCAAAAGTAAAATGTTAAAAAGATTTTGTGTCCTGATAAAATAAATTGCTAATTTTAGCTTCAAAAACAAGGGCAATTGGCAAATCAGCTGTACAGTCATCTTATAGCTTTTCAAAGGAAAATTCTGTTGTGGGAAACACAAATGAGAAGAAAAACTATTTTAATTTTTAAACATTATCCAGTCACGAATACATTCAATACGGTCGTTATACTGAAGAATTGAAACTACTGTCCGAGCAATTTACAGATCGATTTTTCGATTTTAAGAATATGGATAGCACTTTTAAATATTTTTGCAAATCCTTGTAAGTGTAATGTGGAATATGCTCTTTTGATGATGTGAAACTAAGCGAATTTTACAGAACATACTTTTCCAAAGAAAAGTATTCACAGCTGAGAGTTTTCGCACAAAAAATAATTTGCACATTTGGAAGCACGTATAAATGTGAGCAGCTTTTTTGAATCATGAAAATAAGCATCGTACTCGGCTTACAGATGTTACATTAGAAAACACTTTGCGCCTTAGTGATATTGACCCCAATATTGATCATTTTGTTTCTCAGCTTCAAACTAAAGTCTCTCATTAATTTTAATTTGATTTGTCTATCTTTTTTTTGTTAACTTACTTCTTATATGTTTGTTTGAGCATAATCATTATGCTATTTTAATTAATAAATAAAAAAATGTATGAATTTTTGTCACTTTTTTATTCACTACTACCTACTTATTTCTTGCCTACGGCCCGCGACCTAATTTAAGTCCCGAGATTACGCCCTCAACTAAGCAAAGGTTGCCCATACCTGTTCTAAACTATCTGAAGTTAATTGTTAGGTAATCCAGCTTATCTACACATAACAAAATTCTATTATATAAACAAGTTCTCAAACCAATTTGGACCTATGGCATTCAGCTCTGGGGTTGTGTTAGCTACAGTAATATTCTAATAATCTAGAGATTCCAGAACAAAGTATTGAGGAACATTGTCGATGCTCCTTGGTACATTAGAAACAGCGACCTTCATCGAGACCTTCAGATGGACACTGTTGACCAGACTATCACCAGATTCGCTAGGAGTCACGAACAACGGCTCAACCAACATGTGAACGTTGAGGCGATCCAGCTTCTTGACAACACGAACCTGACAAGAAGACTCAAGAGAGTGAAACCTTTTGAGTTATCCAAGTGATTGTGATAATAACAAAGCAAAGCATTGTGCGGTTTAGTGTTACACGTTAGTTTAGTGTAATTAAGTTATCAGACTCTAAGGTATACTAGCGAGTAGAACTTTAGTTTTTAAGATTGCAACCCTAGTTAAGTTAGGTTATAACAAAATTACTCATTGATCAACTCTTGAATCAGATTGTAATATCAATAAATGCCCCTGTTGGGTTTTTTTTTCACAAAAAAAAAATTGTTATATCATATAAAATTGTGAGATAAAATAAGTACCTATGTCGTTATAGGTCATTTGCAGTTATTTGCGTTGCAACTTTTTATGTTTTCTGAATAATTTTAATTTTTTGTGTCATTTCGATACTTTTCATAAGGAAAAAATGTTATAACTGTGCACTGTGTAGTATGTGTATTTTGAGCATAAAACACCAATAATTTTGTTGATAAACGGGTTCCAATGTTAGTTACAACAAAATGAAATATTTAAAAAATATATATATTCAGAGAAACTGTTCGAAATGTTCACCATAGTCGAAATTCAACTTCCGCCTATTGTACGAGAGGATCCCCTTCAATATCCTCAAAAAATCAATGATCGGGCTGGTATTTTTTAGGAGATAAAACATGCTATAACTTTAAAAAACATTTAAAATGTTTCATCATAAATATTTTTTTGTATCACATGATAGGGATTGCAATTTGAAATTTTGAAGTTCTGGTAGTTACCACACCAAAGAGACAATTCAAAAAACTGCTTCCCCTTCCATTCTGTCGAAATGGTTTTGTGTTTTTTTAAACAAAATTTAATATTCATAGCTATAGCCAATGAAAAGTTTTGAAGTTAACACCCTGTATATGTATATTGATAACCATTGTTTTTGACTTATGTCAAACATAGTATTTAAACAGTACTATCATTTTTGTTCTAAGCTTAATATTTATATTTTATCTTTTAACAAATTTGCCCTTTTTATTGTTTGAGAAATAGAATAAGTTTGTAAAAACTTTTTTGTGCTTTCCTGAGTAGTTGAATTTATAGTATTTTAATGGGTATTTGGCGTTTTTATTTCTTTTTATAAGTGGAATATATATCATTATCTGCCACTTAGAGGTGTGTCATAATGGTGTGGTTTTATATTTTAATCAGTTAACCATTTTTTGGAAAGTTAATCTGTATACCTTTATTAATTAGAAACAAGGTAATAGTACTGCTAATTCTTAAATTTAATTTTTAACTACTAGCAAGAGTGTTTCAGCCAAAAGTCTTTGCAGTTCTTTGCTCTCTCGTAGATACTGTAGATATTTTTCCGAATCTGTAATCTTTATATTATACTTCGATCGTGAATACAGACCCTTGCATCAATATCATTTAGAAAAATTTCAGATTTTCATTCATTAGTACTTGCTTTTATTCAAATAAAGTACTGTAATGCAGCCATTTTTGACCAGTACGGTAATGCTCTAATCTCTTAGATCCTCCCTACTTTATTTCAGCCACCATTTGTCCGATTACCAAAAATATTTAAAGAAATAAGTTAACTCCCCGATACCGACCCTAATGTGCCAACTATGGAAATAGGACGACTCTGGCCACTGTCGGTGCTCAGTCTGGAATAAACTGGAACACAGTAGAATGTTCGATGATACTAAACTACAACTTATAGCGAAGGAGCCATTTTGTCATGGAATTTGGTGAAAACATCGGGAACCTACATCATTTTATATAAATGGTGCTATGGCGGGGACGACTTTTCCACACGATGAGTCAAAACCGAAAAATGATATCATCTCGAAATTTTTTAGCAAAAATCGAGTTCTATAAAGGACGAAGCCAAATGATTTTGAAAAAATCTAATTGAAAATAAAGGACATTAAGGGGGGAAGATATTTAAAAAAAATCATAAATCAAAAACGAAAAACGATATCAACTCGAAATTTTGAAGAAAAATCAAGCTATTTAAAGTGACGAAGCCTATGAATAGAAAGGGGGGTTAAAGGGGGTTTAAATAAAGAGCGATATCAACATGAAATTTTTAGTAAAAATCAAGCTCTATTAGTGGATAAAGCCTATTGATTCTGATAAAAACATTTGAAAAAAAATGAGGGGTTAAGTGGGGGTTGAAATATTAAAAAACAAAATCCCAACTCAGAAACAAAAAAATGATATCCACTTGAAATCTTCAGGAAAAATCAAGTTGCTTAAGGGGATGAAGCCTACTGATTCCGCAAAAATCTGATTAAAAATGAGGGGTTAAGTATAAGGTCTCCAATACAGAACAAAGACATTTCGAAAATATTTCAAAAAAATTACATTGAAATATTTTTAATGTTGTATAAATATTACGAGACGTCCCAGAAACATTTCTGAAATGTTCCTGAAACGTAAAAATGTGCTGGAAATGTAATATTTCACAGTAATATTTTTGAATTAAAAATTTGATATCTTTCAGGAATATTAAACAGTAATATTTCAGAAATTTACTCTAGTTTTGTTTCATAAATATTATGAAAAGTTGTAAAAACGTTTCTAAAATATTTGTGGAATCTCAATGCAAAATAAATACGATATTACACTGCAATATTTTTTATTAGACTAGAAAAAGACGTTTAAAAAAATACATG